TGGGTGTCCCTGGCAACTAGAATAAACAATTCAATAGTGCAACCCATCTAATTCTAACCAAACTAACCCAAAACAGGGGTCACTGGCAATTTACCGGTGGTTTCCATTGAAGCTTCCCAAAAACAAATTCGACCTGGACGAAAAAATCCGACAAAGGAAAAGGCCACCTGTAAACCCTTGGAACTCGGGGCCCCCGAAGCTACCTCTCTTGTGGCGGTGTCGATGAGGCCGTAGCTGTCCTGAGAGGTTCACGCTGCGGCCAAAACGAGGTTCACGCTGCCAGCTCGGGGAGGGTGAAACTCTAGGGGTTGAGTCCTTTTCCCTTCTCTTCGACCATGGTTCTTTTCAAAAACCGGATCCGTTTCCCAGGGTTTTGAGTGTGTTTTTTAGAAAGAAGGATGAAGTGGAATGAACCCAGGCTTTGGTCTTGAAGGAAACCACCAGTTGGATGGTTCAGGCTCATTCCCTGAGGAAACACCCTTGGCTGAACGGGTCCACGAGTCTCCACTTTGCTCCACGAAAAAATTGGAGGATCCTTCTGGGATTCAAAACCATCGGAGATCCATTCAGAACTCGGAAGACTCTCAGGGATGTACCCGCCGCGAAGTTTTGGCCAGGAACCGGTCGCTGGATTTCCCAGAAAAGCTGGGAACTGGGCAGGCAACCAACAAATCCCCGCAGCTCAAAACAAGTTGCGAAGTTGGACATTGAGGGATCGCTGGGATCCTTGACAAACTTGGTGAGCTCCAAACAAGCAACTTGAGGTCAGGCTTTGTCCAGGTTCTAAAATCCACTGATCGGAGATCCCCGCCACCTCGACCCGTCCTCTCGGCAATGGCATGGCCACTTTCGGTTGGTCTAAAACATCTTCGGGACATCGGAACCGATCCACCTTTCAGCCTTTGGGAACTCGTCCCAACAGCCAGTGGATTTCAAAAGCAACCTGAAAATTGAGTTGGATCCCCCAGAAAGTGAGAGATCCCCTAGAAAAACGTATCTTTTTTTTTAATCCCCTATACAAGCTGACTCTTTTTTTTGGAGGTCCAAGCAAGTTGTTGAAATTCAGTGTTGGATCCCCAGGACCTGTCAACCAATTCCCATTTTATGTCCAGAAAAAGGGGGGTCCAAAAAACGGTCCAAGTTCTCCCACTTCTGGAGATCCCACTTCCGGAAAGATCCAGCCAGGAACTCGACCCGGCCCGTCCCCGGATCCCGTCCCCGGATCCCTGGGCTTCTTGCCGCGCTTTGGTCCAACACGGTCCACGCTTTGGTCCCAAATGTCCGCTTTCGGCCCAATTTTTTTCAAGTTGAAACTCGTCCGATAAAATTGAGTTGGATCCCAAAACCCCGGAAAACCGCCTAACCTGTCCCAAATCGCCACTCTCGGCCCCACATATTTGCAGGAAAATGGAGCTTAAAACCCGTCTGTCTAACCCGTCTCTGTCTCACCCGTCTGTCTGTGCCGTCTACCCAGGGGGGAAAAACCAGTCAACATAAACCACGGAACAACAACACCACGTCTCTCCATAAGCCGTCTCCGCCTATAACCCCCGTCCGCCCAGCGTCCGTCTCCGTCTCCAGAAACCCCCGTGAAGCCGCCCGCCCGCGCGCGCTCGCGCCCGCACGCGCGCGCGCCCGCGAGAGCCGCTCCTGGCAGGTGTAGTTCACCGTGAAGATCCCGGGGACGGCCATGGAGGGCGCCTCCAGGACCACGTCCCAATTGCTCCCGGAGCCCACGCCTCGAGGCCCGCGGGCGCGAGCGGAACGGCTGAACGGCCTTGAGGAGCCCCTTGGTTTGGAGCTGGTGGTTGGGGTTGGTGGGGCTTCAATCGAGAAAAACCACGTGGATGGCTCTGGTCGTTTTTGGAGTTGGTGGCCATCCAAGGGTTGGTAGTTTTGGTAGTGTTGGTGGTTTTGGTGTTTTAGAGCTGTTTTTTGGACGTTGGTGCCCGTTTAGGTGGGGTTTTGGTATGGAACCACTCTTTTTGGAGGTGGCTTCAGAGGTCCATACAGGTCCCCAAAACGACTTCAAGGTGTCTGCGTGTTGGCGGAAAGCATGCCGAGTGGATTTCACCTGGGCGGTGCTATACGTGACTGCCATAGGTGTCACTGTGGCTTGAAAAAAGATGGATTTTCCTGGAGTATGAAACAACCAGGTCAGCCAGGAACCACCTGGATAGCCAAGCTGCTGTTTTGTTCAATCACTGTTGCTGGTTTTTGGGGTAAAGTGGATGGAAAAAAGCGATCGCAACTGGCGATCCAGGCATCGATTTTCTACCAAACCAACGATTTTATAACCCACACACTCCATACCATATTTATTTTCCTGAGGCGGGTCAACCCAAGGACACCTATTACCCCAACGGCAGCTGCGGCACATTGATGCCCGAGGTCCTCATAGAGTGCCGCGGTGGAGATGTTCTTTAGGAAGTAGCTGGGGATATCGCCGAAGAGAGTAATCCTTGAAGCCGAAAAGCAACACATGGCTGGTCAAAAATATTGCTGGTGCTCAGTAGAGATAACTCAGGGTTTTGAGAATGAACCGAGGGATTCTCTGAAAGAAAACCATAGGGAATGGTTTGTGGGGGTCATTCCCTCATTCCATGCTGAGAACCAGCGAGAAATAGTGTAACCGGCAAACACCCTGGAAAATGGAATGGACTAAAACCTTGTTCATATTTCCTGGTTTAATTTTGATCCGCACTATAGCTGGCTTCTGCCTCTGGGATCAAACAGGCTTGACACTCCATGCGCGCAAAGCCTGTGAGCGCCTGGGCTGCGCTCTGAGCCACTGTCCGACCCCTTTCGCATGCCCGCAAACTCCGAAATCGCCAAATCTATTCCTGAAAAATGACACCTCTCAAGACTCCCCTCACCCCAACTTTTCCCCTAACCTGACCCCGAAAAGTCTTCCACCTCCCAACCCCACCCCCCTGCTGGCCCCCCCCCGCCCTCCCCCGACCGGAGGCTCTGAGGTGCCCGGAGCGGATCCAACGTGCCGCACCGGGAGCTCGTGCCGCACACCAGCTCCCACGCGGAGGACGTGTCCGGTCCTGGAGCAGTTGCCGAGTCAAAGAAAAAACCGCGCGCCAGGTACGATGCGTATTACATATGGTATCGTATGTAAATAATCTAATTGCTGATGCATGTATGTGTATATGTATTTACTCTATCTATTTACTTATCTACGTATGTGTTGATTTATTCATGCATGCATGTATGCATGTATGCATGTATGCATGTATGCATGTATGCATGCATTCACGTACGCATGTATGTGTGTATGTGTGTATGTATTTATTTATTTGTTTGTTTATTTGTTTTGTGTGTTTAGTTATGTGTCTATTTACTTATGTGCATATGTGGTCAGCTTCAATATTATATATATTCTTAGACGTGTATGTATTTTGCTTATTATTTTTATGCGGAAGATCATATACATTTATGTGTGTAGAGATCTATATAGGCGGTCAGCTTCCCAATTGGTGGTTGGGAGCCCGGTGATTTGATGGTTAAGGGGTGCTTTCCCATACAAACCTTCAACAAGAACCAGGGGTTCAAATCCTAAACTGCCAATCCAACCCGCCAATTCGGGGTTTCCTGAATATGGGTGCGCCTTCTTTAAGGAATTGGGCCCCCCAAAAAGACACCAAAGATGGTGGACACCTACATACTCCATGTAGTTTTTTTCTACGGGTGGCTCAAGTCATTTTTGTAGGAATCGCACCCCCCCAAAAAAAAAGAAAAGAAAAGAAGAAAGACAAAAAACAAAGCTGAAGAGAATAGCGCGACGGCTTCCCCTTTGGTCCCCCAGAACTGGACCCTCCAGAAAGGACACGCATAAAGAAAGGCCACAGAGCTGACCCATGAAAGTGTCTTCTGGTCAGAATGCCTATGGAGTCTTGGACGAAGACTGACGCACCCCCAACTTGTTGGACTCTTGGCTTTTGGGACATGGGCAACAGCGGGGGGGACAAAAAAAGTGAAACGGGTGTCTAGAAGGTTCCCCTACCTTCGTCTGCCCAAGTTCAGAAAATGTGGGAGAACCTTCCACGTGTCCAATGAAGACAAAAACCAAATGGAAAAAGAAAGGCAAAGAGCATAGAGTGTTTTTCTAGGGGCCGCAACATCAGTGTTTCATGACCTGTTTTGGTATCACTCTGCCCCCCTGAGTTTGAGGCTGAAACGATCACCGACCCTGGTTCGGTGATACGGAAAAAATCTGGGAACCTGCCCTCATGGCTAGGCTCCCTGGAGATCTCATGTTGCTCCCAGAAGTTTCAAAACGAGCCGTGCAAGAGCTTTCTTGTCGAATGCGCAAGCCGCTTGATTTTGGCCAAAAAGGGCGGTTCGCTGATTTTAAGTAAAGGCCCTGTGGACACAAGGAGCCAGTCTCAGGTTCCTTCGCAAGTTCGGATTGGAACAGCCAAGTGATCCTGCCAGAGGCGACAGCAAGAACTTCTTGTATACCCATGTTCAGTCCTTCTCTGAGGCCGCCTGCTTCCCTCCGGGTGGTTGTTCAATCCCTTGGGTTCTTTGCAACCGTCCCCCTTGACCTCCACCCGAAGCATGGCCCGGGTGGTGAACCTGCTTTTGCAGCCAAACCTCGCCCGATCCTCTTTTTTGTTGCAATTGTCTCACCGCATATCGTTGGTGCTTTTTTGCTTATATCTTTTAAATATTGTTCATTGTGTGTCAATGTGTGTTCCTATACGGCTGTGGGTCAAAACCAATGGTACCATTTTGGGGTTTTCCGTGCACCACCCATGTTAGTCTACTTTGGTGGGGATTGAATCGGATGCGATTTGTTTTTGGGTGAAAATGAAACCACCAGGGGACCGCAGGTTTTGGTCCATGTTTCCATTTACCAGGGTTCCATTTTGGATACATATTCTTGACCCACAGCCATTTGCCTTTTGAGCCATGGCCACATTTTCCGGGCCTTTGTACTTCAGCGACAGCCGTGCGTTGGATCCAGTGCTGAAGTACTCCACGTACAGTTGGTGGGCCCCACTGGCATAGTACCTGCCAGAGCAAGTAACTCGGTTGCTTCCTGCTCCCCTGCTAAAAGTTGTTTAACTTGCAGTGGTTTAACGGTAGTTGGCAAAAAGTTAAAGTCCTATGGTGGTGTAACGAAAAACCCATTAGTTGGCACAAAGCTATTCAGTCCTAACATCCCTTGGCAAGATGCACCAAAGGTAAGACAAATGCTCCTGGTTGATGCTGCGGTTTGGATCTTGGTTGAGCTGCAACGACCCCCCTGCAAAAAATGTTTCACTTTTTGGGGGGTTTGGTGGAAAACCCAACTTGATTTCACCAACAGTTAAAGTCTAAAGATCCAACCCACTAGCAGTCAAGGAATAGTCCCACCTTTAAAAGACCCTTCAGCTTGTCCGCTCGACCCTGCCCCCAAACACTAACAGTCACCACAATTTGGAAGACCATTTTTGTCTAAATGTCCATCATCCACGGTGAGTGGGTGGCAGGGTCCCAGGCTCAGCATTCGACTTCGGGCGCCTCCTGTTGCTTCCTGTTGGGATTTTGGAGTTTCACGTCGGATCCATCGGCCTGCTGGGAGACAAAACATTTCGGATCTCAACCAGCAAGGCGGTTGGCACAAATGGGAGAAGGCTGTGGAGATTGGTACTGGTGCGTCCCTAACCCCCCCCCCAAACATGGTCATAGGTCATGAAGGTAGCAGATACTGCTATGGGCCATGTCTGTCTCTTCCGCTTTGCATTGACTGGCTATCCCCCCCAAAGTAACCTCTGTCCAACAGTGGAAGTGGCGAATTGGAATGCTCGTCTGTGCCATTGTCAAAACTCCGTTTCTGGACCTATGGCCAACAAATATTTTTGGTTGACGTTGGAAGGGGAGCAACAAAATAAATGTTACGTAGCAGTTAAGTAGGGATTTCCCACTAAACCACAAAAAACAAAAATGTAAAATGTTTCCCAACAACAACCATGTATGGAGGATCCTTACTACCAGGATCCTAACCATCCCTGTTAACCCTAAGTAAAGGAGTCTTCTGACCATGGCACTCAAGAAATATCTCCAGATGAGTCATAATCAAAACCCGGTGTCAAAATAGACCACCCCAGAACCATGCTTCAAGAATTAAGAAGGCGGATATCCGCAGCTATCTATGGTTGGGATTGTCCCTTGCTAACCTTCATATACCAAGGTTTTGAGCAAGTGGCTCAGATGAGGAATTACAAGGGTCTCAAGCCACTTCTCTAGGGATTGATTCCCCATCTCCTAGGCCATCGTTCTTTTCAAAAACCAGCCATTTCCCCAGGGTTTTTGGTGGTTTTCTAGAAAGAAGGATCCCTGGAAAGAATGGGGAAGTTACGCCTAGAACTTCTGTCTCTTTACCAAGATTTCAGTTTGGGCTCTGGTGGAAAGACACTAAACCGCACAGGTGACGAGCAAGCCCAAACAATTGTTTCAGAAGCGATCACAACTGGGTGTGTCTTTTCTGCTGGCCCTCCAATTGGGCGGTTTCCCTTTGGTCTTCCTTTAGAACCACTTTAGAACCAAAAGAAAAAGGGGTACCCCCCCTCCCCACCCCCCAAAAAAAAGGGGGGAAAAAAACGGGGGGGGAAAAAAGAAAAAAAGGAAAACATAAAAAAGGAAGAAACAAAAGAAGACACACAAAAACAAATAAGAACCCCCCCCCAAAAGAAGAA